CAAAGTAAACTACTGAGTTTACTTTAAGCAAATTCAATAATAATACATTTACTTTAAGTGCATGTAAAGCATAACTGAAGCTTTGATAGGCTCAAGAATTGAGCCATATGCACCATTCTATCGTTAAGCTTAAAATCCTCTTCGCAAACGCTTCACTCTCAAGTTCAATTGCTAATTTAAGTTATTTTTCTCAGCGATGTGAAGCATTCATTTCTGCTTTTTTTCAGTTATTTGTTACTGAATTTTGCTAAAATGGATGGAAGAAAGCTTGCTTATAAAATTTTTTTAAGCTGCAATTTTTGTTTGAATATAATTTTTTGCATGGAAACTAGAATTATATTTTGTATTTTTTGAAGCACAATTTGAATCAATAAAGTTTGAAAGCAGCTATTTTTTAGAATTTGGACATTATTATACTAAAGTTGAATTTTGTGTGTCTTTAAGAGCAATAATCAATTTACAATTTATAACGACTTCCCATGACTGTTGCAAAGTTCAAATGAAATGACCAAAATTATTGAGAGAAACAAGCATATAAAAAAATCAGATTAACTTTGTTTAAAGAGTTTTCAAATGACTTTATTTTATGGAAAAATACCAGTATTCCCTTTGCTTCTAGAAATAATTTTATCGGTCAAATTAAATTCAATTTGCATGCCTTTCACTTGATCTATTCTGACTAACTCCTCAATCCTCCTGTATTTTTTTCATAAAAACAAATAAATTAACGTTAGATGACTTGCAGATAAATCAAACTTTGCTTGCTTGCAGTAGTATATTTTGATATATTCGCATTCACAATTATAGTTAAAATTTATGAAGTGTACTTTTACCAACTTATTTTGTTTATTTGACTACAAGTAACATGCTTGTCTTGAAGCACTACTATAATAAGTTTACTTTCGAAAAAACTATTATGCTTCATAAATTTTTGGCATCATTAATAAATTAAATATCAATAATTTTTTTTAGCAAGTTCTATACAAAAATCTTATAAAGAATCAAAAAGTTGATACCTTGCTAGTATTTGCTGAATCCGAGCCTATCCCAGAATCTGTGCTATCGGCTGGTCGATGAAATTCAGCGTATTCCACGTGATGTGTACCATCCGTTGTATTCAACTCGCTTCGATCTTTAAAACAAACATTTGCAAAAAGTGTTTCCGCTCTAATTTCCAGATGTTTTTCTTGCAAATTTTAAAGTAATACTGAAGTAGCATTGATAAATTTCATTTAAATATAAGTAAATGTGCGTTAAATTTTCTATTTATTATATCGAAAGAATGAGAGATTTGAAATGTAAAAATTAGAAAAGTTTTTTACCAGCTTTGCGTTCAAATATTTTTAAATCAAATTTGACGGCAAAAATCAAAATGCTGATTCTTCCATGGACTTTACAAAAAAGAACGTAGCGATAAAATTGCAATGAACAAAGAACAATTTCTTAATACAAACCCTTGACTTTTTTTGAGCACAAAAATTTTCAGTAGTTTGAACTCAAAGAATTGTAATTATTATGGAGTAAAGTTTGTAATAAATTGATCTGATTCGGACATCTGACTTATTTAAAGATGTTAAAAATCGAGTCTGTAAACTTGATTAAAATATGATTAGAAAATCACATTTACATGTTAAAACTTGGAATCAGGGAAACAGATTTAATTTGTAAGAGGAAAAAGTGATGATAATAATTTGTAGGATACATTTAACGGAAATTCGTACAAATTGGGACGATCAGTCATCTTAATTCCCACCTTTGTTTATCGTACAATTCTTAATCTAAATTTGCAAATGGATCTATTCTATTCAATCATTTTTAACTTAAATATTGACTAGCGACTACTCAAATTCACTTGGTCTAATTCGAATAACTCAATTTAATTCCATTTTATTGCAGTCAGTTGGAATCAAACTTTTCAAGCGGAAAATGAGAAAATTTGCTTTGTACTTATGAAAATCAATTTTTTTTCATCAATTTTACATTTGAATGAAAAAATGTATCGTAGATGCTGACTATTTCTTGTTGCATTTCATGGTGATACTTTTGTATACATTGTCATATGACCATTACAGTATCGTTTTAATGATAATGACAATACATGCAAAAGTATTTTTTGAAGTAATTAAGCACACCAAAACCGGACTTCCTAACATAAATATTCTACCAAGCACTATTTTAGTGATGGATTCTGCGCCAAACTCAAATCATTCATATTCAATGTACCAATAATGCATTCTTAATTTTGATGATCTGTAACAAAAATCTATTCAATAATTTTATGTAAAATTGATGCATACGAGAATTCAGTGCTCCCTCATTATTCTTTCGTATTCTAGAATGTAGTGTGTCTGCTCAAAAGAAAAGTGAGAAAACCATGAAATGATAAAGCACTGCAGTAATGATTTCACCTTGTAAACGTTAATTCTCGATACTGTTTTCAATATTCATTTAAAGACTTGCTAATTTTTAAGCAAACATTAGAAAACAATAAAATCTTCCAAATTTTGGGGATTTAACTAATAAACAACCATAGCACTTGTTTGACACCTGAAATGGCACTTTATCAAATACTATACGCTAGCTATAATGGAATAAGACAAGTTTTTCTTCATTTCAAAGTATTGAAAAGTTCAAAAAGTAATAGCAACAAAAAGATATTCTGCAAATAATTTATGCTCCATCCCAATATATCACTTTCAATTGATTTTAGTTAAAAAATAATAAATTTCAGAAAACTACTTTCGATTTCGGATTATTTAGTTCTTTTTTCCAATTTTTAGTTGAATTTTCGTCGCTATTCTTTTGACTTTAAAATAAAGTAATTCTCGATCCGGGAATCATATGTCACTCAAATTACTTCTCAAAACTGCAAGTGTAAAACACATTGATAAGTCCGAGAGTAGTGTTCGAAAACAGTAGTTTGATAATAAATGAAAGCCAACTGGCTTTTGAGCTGTTTTTCACGGAAAATTTCATAAAGTAAAGGAAAAATAATTAGATTCTACTGGAAGTAAAGATATTTGCAATTTACTTGCATTTTCCTAAACTTTTTGCAGTGCTGAACTATGAAATTGCAAAAAATCAAACTCTTTTTTCTAAAACAATCGAATTCATAAAATCGGTGAGCTACTCCTTTTTCTAAAAATATTAACTATATTTTTTGCAACAAATTGTGCGTTTTGAAGTGGAAAAATATGTAAGACATTGTAGGAAGTCAAAATCAGAGCTGAAAAGTTTGAAATGTATCAAATATTCGTGAAGATTCTGAAGTTCAGAAAAAAACAAAAACTTGAAAATTAATTATGTACATACAATTATAATGTTTAGAAATGAAAAATTTGGTATTAAAAATAATATTCAGATTTCATTGAGATTTTAAATAAGTTGTAATTAATTATGCAAACTTTAAAATTGAGAAAACAAGGAGAACAAAGCCCAGGCTAAGGGGCTCGAGAAAAGTGCTTGGCATTTGTCTCGTAGAGCACTTGTATTTTTCAAGATGACATGGAAACTTGGCTAGCACGCATCAAAAGCAAATTAATACAACATGCCATCTCTATGCCCATAAGCTTTTTGGGGGAAACTGAGAGTACAAAAATAAATTTAAAGTAAAGGCTTGCAGAAAGTAAAAGGAAGAAAAACAAAAAGTCAAGAAAAGAGCCAAGTGGATAGAGTAATCTGCCAAGTACTTTTCTCGAGCCCAGGCTCACTCAGGCGCTTGGCTAGGAAGTGAAGCAACAAAGTATGCAATGAAAAAATTTGAAAAGTCTCTAAACCATTGTTAAAGATGCGAAAAATATGAAATCAATGCGCGCTGTATTCTTTTCCATCTATTTTGAAAAAAGAATGTAAATCTTTGCAAGCGAACTTATTCTGAATTTGTTATTAGTAAGAAAGTCTATGAAATAAGTCTTTAATTTGATGACAGTTACAAATGCTTGAAAATTCTTCTTAACTTTTAAACAAAAAAATGCTTTTTATATGAAATTCATATTTTGAACAAAATTGTCGTTTTTAATAAGCAAATAAAACAAAAATTCATCGCAAGTTTAATAATTCGAAAGTATTATTTTTCATTCGATTGGCCTTTTCGTTTTACTATTTGCATTATAGAAATCACTCAGCGCTCTTTTATAAACATTTCAAAAACTTTCATTTGCAAATTATTTAATAACAAAAATTGACTAAAGGCAAGAAACTGAAAAATTTAGAAGCAATTAAAGATTTTCAACCCGTTACCTTCTTCCTTGTCAAAATTCTCATAACTATCAGCTCGAGAATAACCTACAATCGATCGGCGAAAAGTGCCACTGGCACCATTAGCTCCAATAGAATAATCTGTGCTTGTGCCACTTTTTGGCACTTCCGTCAAAAATGCAAATTCAATCATTGCTTGCGAATCTAAGCTTGAATCTGCAAATCGCTCAATCCATTATATGATAGTGGATAAAAGGTTAAGGGTTACGATTTATGAAAACCATTTTGCTTTAATTTTTATGAAGCCAAGCCTAGGAGAGTATTGTGAAAACTTTAGCAAAATAAAAAGAAATTATATTAAGGCAGTGAATGACATCGTTGTAAAACCTATCTCAATCCAAATTTATTCATTAAAAACCACATCAGTTATTTTTCACAATTTTGTTTGAAAATTTTCTTCTAGCTGAGATTTGTAGTCATAAACATAATCATTTTTGAATTGCAAATGAAAATACTATTTCAAAATACTTAAATTTTTTGGAAATTAGTAATTTGAAATCGCTTCTGTGCATACCCAAAGATTTTTTCTTTCTAATTGCTAAGAATGCAAATTGAACTCTACTCAATTTTATACTCTACTCAAATTTACAACTCAAAACTGCTTAAAATTGCTTAGAATTTTAATACTTTCCAAAAATGATCACTTCTAGTTGAATATCGAGGGATCTGAATGCAAAATAAGAAAACTGAGAGCAGAAATTCCTCAAAATGTATTCTTGAGAAGTTAAAATAACTTGTCGAATTTAGTAGATTAAAATACCATTAAAGATATCATCCAATTCTTCACGGTAGAATTTCATCTTAAAGACACATTCAGAAGCAGTCGACAGATCAAACGTGCAAGTATTAAACTGACATCGAAAAAGTGGCACACGCTCCGAGTGAGCTGTACGTTGAAAACATTTGACCAAAATATCCCCACGTAATGGCAAATCATCTAATTCCATGATAGCATTTTCTTTTATATTTCTAAAATACAAACAGACTAATGGATCCATCAAATAATATCATACAAAAATTTCGACCCCAGTCAGACACTAACTAAATTCTGATAACCAATCGTAGAATAATTTAAATTTAAAGTTGAAGTATTTCAAATTTAACCATATTTATCCTATTTTGTTTCCAAGTCAATTAAGAAACGGAAATTTGAGAAAAATTAAGCGAAACGTCACACATCCTCAAATATTAATTCTTTTAAGTTATTTCTTGACATTTGATGATATTCAGAAATTATAAAATATGAAAAATTAAAAAGAAAAAACGCACATGAGTGGTGACGTATATACTGGTTGCATTCGTTCATAAATTTTAAATAAAATATTCCGATCGGGAAATTTTGTTAAGACAATTTGATGCAAGTAAACCGTTGCTGGTTGAATTTTAGTTCGTCCACAAAGCAGTGAAGAAAAGTAATTCACGTATCTGAAATCTACAACTTGATGATTCTAAAAATTGCACAGATTTCACCATTTACGTCTCTAATCCTCACTTTTAAATGACGCAACAAATCACTAGAAGCGATAAAAAATTTTTTTGCGTGCTGGATAAATTAACTTCACTACTATCACAAATCATTTTCAACTATAAAGTTATTGTGTAGATCAATAAAATTTGCAGTTTACAAATATTTTCTTAAAAATGTTTCAAATCAGAAAATTTCAGAACTTAATACGTTTTTTATATGTTCATGTGATTTTGCTTCAGAATCACATTTTACAATTAACTTTTGATAAATTGTACTATTTACAGTTTCTAAAATAGGTCTCCTGATTATTCGAAAAAACCCCAGTATTTTCGGTAACTTTAGATATTTGTAAGGATTTAACCGAGTACTTGATGCAAAAGAATTATTGCTTTAGTGCTAATTTTTCACTTAACGGTAACAGTCATCATCAGAAAGAAGTTAGCGTGAACTTTCTGAAAGTAATGTTCACTGTATGACGAAAAACAGATTTAAGCATGAAATGAACACTTGTAAGCTTTTCCTTCATTATACTTCTGTAAAATACTATGTGTATTGAAATGGGCTAAAGTAAAAGTAATGTTTTAAGAATTTATCTCTCTTTTGTGCTTCCTTTGAACTTTTGCACGCAATTTAAAGATTTTATCACCGAGGAATGGATGACCTTCGAAGACAAGTTTGAGAACAAGAATTTGGTAGATGACCTTGAACTTCTCTCTGTTTATACTTCTAATGCCAATTTGGACTACCACAATATGGCTGTTTTGCAGTTAAATCACTTTCAGTTATATTTCATGAAAGCCGAAAATTCTTTGCAAATTATTCAAACTTAATAAATTAATTTTTGATGCTTATGGTTTCATACCCTGAACAAGCGCAATTTTTTATTGAATTATTTTAGCAAGACTTCAAATTTTAATGACTTAGGAAAAATAAAAACAAAACTATCTTTTAATTTTGTAGAATTTAAAGGTAATTCGAATAACTACTGACTCAAAGAGATAATTCAAAGTTAAATGACCAAAGGTTTGTATAAAATTGAAAATTAGCATTCTATAAGTGAAATATCAAAGAGGAGAACAAATTTATTAGTTTACCGCTTATGAGATGGCTGTCCATCGAGGCTGAGGTGGCGCTCGCTGAATCGTTGCAAATCAAAGCAATTATTTAATGATTCTTCTCTGAAAAAAGGAAAAAATTAGTTTTTTATGATTAAATACAAAATTCTATGTATTACATCACATTGCTTAAAAATTGATTTACAATATTTAATTCATTAAAAATTTTCAAGCTTTAATGATATGCAATTTGAGGTAAACAATTTCAATTTCTGGAAATTTACACATTAATATGCGAATTAGTTGAAAAAAAAATGATCAACAGAGTACTATACTTTTCATAAGAGTACTTCATTTCATGATTACTGAGAACCTTGAAATAAAGTAATTGAAGTACTTATGAACAGCAAATGAAATTTTTAATTCATGAGGTGCCATATTAATTAGATACTACAACCACTGATATTGTATGAGAAAGTTGCATAAATTAGTTTACGTTGAACAAATGCTCAGATATTGCGTATATGCTGCGATGACAATGGCAGCTCGGGAACATCCACCTTTGCAATGGATAACAGCCACATTCTTTTCATTATCTGCCAACCAGTTTTCTAGCAACTTGCATATGGAGCAAAGCCTATCGAGTGGTGGTGCTAATTCTTGGGGCCAGCCAAGTTCAACAACTGGATGCAATCGACCGAGATCGCTTCGCTTCTTTGACACGTTGAAAATCTGCGTGATTAATTTATGAGCTAGCAGCTAAGGAAATATTTACCATTTAATTTTCGGTTGTAATATCATTTGAGCGAAAAATTATTTGCACCACAAATCTGTGGTGAATTAATTCACCACAGAGTATTAATTCACATACATAGAACATTCATGCTTACATACCAAGTAAATAAATGAAGTATGAACAAGGGGCAAACAGTATAAAGAAATAACAATTTGTGAGAAAAGCTGAGTTTCAGTTTGATTTTTTAAATTAATTGTTCAAATTCAAAATATTCGAAATTTTTATGCTTATTTTTGGAGCTTTTATTTTTACACAAAAGTAAATATCTTAATTTGATAAATCAGGCAATCAGGCACGTAGATGTAATGAATGAAATACTTTTAATGTTTTAAACTACCACCAAAAGTTTTCATTATTAAATAAACAAAATTGGTATGGTCAAACAGTTAACTTCAGCACCACGTCAGTCTGAATGATTTTATTTTGTCTTTAAAATTGAGCTGAAATATCCGAAATAAACATTTTAAATTTTACTTTTCTTGATAAAGAATAGTTTTTTTGACGGAAAAGTGAGTTTTAACTGCTTAATTTGAATATTTAACTGTTTATTTTGATTCAAATTTTATAGAATCAAGTGTTACTTTGATATTATTTCCTATAATTTGCACATTGTTCTGAAACGTAATTTAACAAAATTTTTCAGAAGAAAAATGAACTAAGCAAAATTGCAGCTATAAGAAGTATTGTCAAAAATTATTTTTAGAAAAACTTGAGATTCCACGTTAACTGATAAAAAGTGAATGGTAATCAGAAGCCAATTCTCATTGCAAATTTTTGTTGCGCTCAAAAGTATTACTGATAAATAAAAACATCTTCGGATCAGTGGCATATTAATCGAAGATTGTACTAAAATTGACTTAAGTCATGAAATGACTTAAGCTAATGCTTGATATAAACAGTACTTTAATGCATTATTGTTTATGTCTACAGGAAAATTGCTTTTGATGGTAGATGTGAGGAGCAAGTTATGGAATTTACATAAAGTTTGGATATTTTAAAATGAATTATGCAAGTAAACAGTATTTTCCGACTTACTGAACATCGATAAAGCATAAATACTTTGAATAATGGAAATACTTGAAATATTTATGTGAAAAAATACTTCAACTTAAATATTTAAAAATATTTCTCTATTAAAAATCTGCATAAATTTGCGAAATACCTTATAATGTTCGAGATGTTTGCGTCGAAGAAAAACTGTGGCATCTTTGAGCCCTGTCCTGTACTGACTATCAGTACCATCCGAAGGAAATAACGCCACTGCAAACACAATTTTTCTTTAAATAGTTCAAAAATGACAAACGTGACTCAAACTAGAAACCAAAAATAAATTAGTTTTAATGTATTTAAAGAAAATTAATAATCTTTCAGCAAATTTTGGAGTTCATGAGCTAGGCGTAGTTTTAAGTACAAAAATTGAATAATGACATGCAGTCTTATCGAGAGTGTGTCACGTATTCATTACTTAAAAGTGAAAACAGAAACAAGTTTGAGAGAATTGTATTTCTTTTAAAGGAATTTTCAAAAGAATCATTAGAAAAAAGGACATAAGGAAAATTATCGCTTATGAAAATATGTCACTTTTTTAATTAAATTGCAATCAATTTAAACAGGCTGAATTCAAACAAAAAAATGATGAATTCCGTAAAGCAATATGAAATGATTCTGATTTTGGCATAATTAATTAGCGAGCGCAAAGATATGAAATTGAGATATTTGTGATGTACCACTTGAAATACTGAAAAGGGGAATGAAAATTATAAAAAAATCTAAAAGTATGCACCAATGATTCGTTCGGTAATGTACTGAATTTCTAGCGTAGGCAGCGTAGATACTGCTTTTGTTAATGATGGCGAATGACTTGAACTTGGAGTGGATATTTCTTTCGTTAACATTGAATACCTCTGGAACTCATACATCTGAGTAGTTATTTAAAAAGAACACTTTTTGTTAAATGAGACGAGATTTTTTGTCCCAAATATTTCACATAACCTTAAAACTGACTAGTTCAATAATGCAAATATTTCAGTTTCAAATTTATGCAAATTTTCCCAAAAGTAATGCAAAGTATAACAAATTCAAATTTTCAATGTATTTTTAATTTTATTATTTTTGAAAACTATTTATGCATTCCAATGCACAAAGTGAAAGGATCAAATGAAACAATTCGTTGAACAGAAAACAGCTAATTTAAGTGCTGAAAATTATTTAAAAATTATTCTAGTAGTAATTTGAAAAGGTATTTTCGATTTAATTTCAAAGCATTACAATACTGAGAGATCACAACTGGTGAAAAAACATGTATAAATATTGATCTTTCAATCTGCAAAATTCGTAAACGTTTTCAAACAATGCCAAGTCGGCAGACTAACTTGTAATAATTTTGCATTGATATTATTTATTGAAAAAAGTGCTAACTGTAAAAATAAAATACTGTCTTTATAACAATAATCTATTCTTGGGATTCTGAAATGACTGTTTCCATTTAAAAGTGATCGATAATATATCGATTGAAACAGAAACTAACTGAAGCTTATCGTTCAACTTGTAATCAACGGATAGCTGATAGATCAGACTGATAAGAGAAGATAGTAAGTAGTACGAGACTGCAAGGCCCACAGTTTCAGCAAATTTGAGGCTTCTTGAAATGTTTGTGATCAGACGAGAGGTAAGGATGACTTATTCATTCATTTATCCTTGGAATTCTACTTTAACTTACTTGCTAGTAGATAAAGAGGAAGCAGCTGTTCTACTACAACCTTAAGTCTAACTTTAACATAGTTTTAGTTGAGCGCAAATCTAACTTATTCTTTGTAAATTTTTAAGAATTGAGTTTGCAAAGATGTAAATTTTTTGTTGTAACTATCACAATTTAAGTAATTACAAAATTTCGAGAAACATATCAAATATAATTTACTTTTCTAGCGCTTTTGAAACCTTTTGGATTTTTTTCAACTAATCTTCAAATCTTCGAAAATTTCAAAAATGATTTTGCTCTTAATCTTCAAAATTAATTTTCGAAATTTTTGAAAAGGCAAGTTTTGATTTTGCTTATTCTGCTATCTTACTGCGAATTAATATAAATTTAAACATTAATAAATTGCAAAGTGAAATGAGTGGAAGTAAGAAAAATTAACAGCAAAATATAATTAAAGGTGAGAGTTCATCAGCGAAATTGCTATTTTCAAAATTAATGACGCACAAAAACAATGCTTCATGATTTTTTTTTAATTTTTTGTAATTTTAGAGCTATTATAAGAAATATCATTCTGCATCGCAGACTTTCTGAAAAAGAAAAAAACACTTTGTTCTGATATTTTTTTGAAGGATTCATTAAATCTGTCTGAATTTGTTGTTGTTTTTTGAAAAAATTTTGCAATTTTTTTATTAGCACACAGTAATTAGCATCTCAAACACATTCACAGGCAAAATACAATTGAATTCAGTAAATGGCATTTTTCGTAATGAAATTAATCAGTTGCTTTCGTTGTAAAAAGTTCTGCTTTCAGAAGTTAAAAAATTTGTGCCATAAATTATTGTTTGCAAAAAACTGAATTAATTTTCAAAATTAATATTTAAACAAATTTCTTAGATTTTTTGAAGGTTGAAAAAATGAACTGCCTGAAAAAAATGGCACTGAATTATTTAAAATTCAATCAGACTGTTATAAAATTAAATCAATTCATCCTTTTTGCTTTTATTTTTGCATGCAGCTTATGTATTCAAAATTTAAAGAATATCAATTTGTTGAAAAAACTAAGCAAATGAAAAGAAAATAAAGAGAATTGTTAAGTATGAATTGTATTAATAGCAGATATTAATTAGCCTGAAATATGATATGAAGTTTGCAAGAAAGCTACTCCGACTCGAATAAGCAGCGCAAAATCTTATGTTACTGATCAAAAATAGTCTAATGAAGTATAAAATAAAATTATGGAACTGAAAAAGTGTAATTATTTTCACTCATCAAAATATTTTTTTGAATTCTAAAAGTTATTTCAAATTTCCATTGCAATATGCTAATTAGAAAAACAAAAATATGCAACCGATTATTATCGCACAAGCCATAAAATAATTAAATAATTTTGATGCGTTGTTTTTAGTAATAATTATTGCTAATAATGATCAAATAATGTGCTAATTTATTAATTCAAAACAATGCTGCTTTTTCAGATGAAATAAACAATTATTATTTCTTCCAAAATATGCACACTTTGATAAATTTAAATTTTAACGATGAAGTGCCATTTGAGTTTTTTTTCGGGAAAACAAAATTCAGCTTTTTTTCTTTCACCAAATTTAAATAAATTTTGTAAGAGCCCATCTTTATTATTACAACGTATAAGATGAGCTACGCAAATATTTGCATATATTTGATTTTAGATTTATCTCAGCTACTGTGCTCACCTACTGTGAGTGTTTGTCTTTCGCATTCAAATTTGACTAGTATAATATTTCGGAAAAGAATAAAAAGCCTAAAACTAATCAACTAATAACAACGTGAATGAAATTATTACAAAAACTTGACTAGTTAGTTACAGCTTTCATTTTTAAGAGCAATCATAAATAATAGCTTAAAAATCAAATTGACAAAAATTTCTTCACTAAAGCATAAGTATTTGTTTATTTATTAAAAATCAGAAGCCAAAAAGTCATAAATGTTTTTCTATTTCCATACGATTTGCAATTTATTATGATAAAAGTGATCTAATTGTTGCAAAGCATTTCTGACAGTTTTTAAGTAATGAAATTAGCAAAATACCAAAGAAATGAAGAAAATATATGCATTTAAAGCTCGAAAATTTGCACAAAAAGTAACCTTTTTCTTAGTTTTACGTGACGATCGAAAGCAGAACATCGTTTCTTACTCTTATCGAGTATTGCTGAGAAAATGAAATCAAGAAAATCTATTAAGAAAGTGAATTAGAAATAGAAATACTCGGTTTGACAGCGTTCTGATATG